GCCCATCTGGAACTCCGCCTCGCTCCAGTTAGGTCCAGCTTACAAAAAGAGCTGAATATATGATTGGCGTTGGTGCCGCATTTTGACGGCGGCACCGTTATTGCAAAGGAATTTACGGTACTGCAAAACACAAATTCATGTAATTTATGTATCTTTCCCGTTTGCTTTGTTTGCTGTTTCCATTCAAGGCGCTTTTCCTCGCCACCCTGTTCATCTTGGCATTTCTCTTGGATATACGCATTTCAGGGTGCCCGGATGACGTTTTTTCATTTCGTGAACTGTGTGGCGCTTTCCTATGCACCCTATCTGATTGCCTATAAATACTCGGGGCTTTCCGAGTATTGCTCGGTCTGGAAATGTGCCTATGCAGCAGTGGTGTATTTCCTTACACAGCTTGGCAAAATGCTTGTACTGGCCACATTCTTTCCGACAAGTGATGTGGACGGATTGGATCTCATCCAGGTGAACTCCCTGATGCTTTTAGAAATAAAATAATTGGCCAACGCACGGGCTAGCCGTACGAAGATGCGTTTTTTGCATAGTTCCCCGCAGGTTTTTGTTACTACCGGCACAGGTTTTTCGGGCAAATGCTTCTAGCTAAACAAATTAAGACTGGCTGCCAGAATTTTCAGGAAACACACGCTTAAAATTTCAGCTTTCTAGCTTCCTTGGCTCCTGAGTTAGCAACTTACTCGAAAGAAACTTTCACGGACCCGTATGTGGGTACCACACATACCCGATGTCTGGGTTTGAGCTGATTGAGACTTACCTAGACGGGAGACATCCCCTTAAAGTTAAAGTCTTCTAGCTTTTCAGATACTCCAGTTAGCAACTTACTCGGAAAAAACTTTGGTGGGCTCGTACTTGGGTACCATACGTACTCGGGGACTGGTATGAAGCTCATTAAGAATTGCGCGGACAGGGAACGTGCCTGTAAAATTTCAGCTTTCTAGCTTTTCAGGTTCTCGAGTTAACGACTTACCCGCGAAAAACTTTCGTGGGTACCACGCATATCCGAGAGCTGGGTTTGAACTCATTAACACCTACATGACCGGAACATTTCTTAACAATTACAGATATTTCAATACTCCCATTCTCCTTTTTTTTCACTTTGTCTTCCTTTCCTTCTTTTTTCTGTTTCATCATTTTCTTATCTTTCAATACTGCATAGGTCACGGCACATAAATAGCATGATCGCAGGTTCATACCGTATCGCTTTGAAACAAACATTGCTTGCTTTATACTGTATCGTTTTGAAATATCTGAAAGCGCATTTTTTCAGGAATTGATGAAAGCGAGTGCTGATATATTTGATGTGATGGGCCTTCATGCTGTAATTGTGTATCTTATGGCTGGCAAAAGTGAAGTACGATTTTTGGCCGCTGGC